TTATCCAAGAAAAAAACTGTGTTAGTGTAGGTCTTTTGGGAAAACAGCATCACAAGTTCGTCTGCCATGACAGGAAAAACTTGTCATGCGCAGATAGGACGGGAAAACACGTAGGAAACGAGCCTATCATGCATGTGGAGCATGACAAGCGTAACTATTTTGCATTTTCTGCATCACAGACTTACATTTACACAGTTTTTTTCTTGCATATAGTTTCCGTGTGGTGGTCCCGCTCGCATCTTCGCGTGCACGCACCAGCCCCCATAATTCCAGGCAGAACCACTGCCCCCAAGCAGGGCCAGGACAACAATCTTTCCGCGCCGACGGAAGGAATTCATTTTCAGAAAGTGTTGTTGTTGTGACAACTACTTCGTAATATCGTACAGTCGTCTACTACTTGTTGTACACAATACCAATTATCGTCTAATCTTTTAATATGGGTTGACTTTTTACTACTTAAAGTTGATAGGTAGCTTCGGTATGTTCAAAGTTCTTACCTTGCGTCAGTGTGACTCCTGTTGCTTGAGGAACTAGTACCGGGTGTAGTACTCAGCTTCAACTCTCGTTTTTTTTTTTACCTCAGCCTTTTATTTATGCAATTGATCTTTCTTTCCTTTGATCATGTTATGGTGAACTTAACAAAGCACGGTCCACCTTTTCGTTCCGTCTGTGATTGTCAGTCTAGCTGGAAGTAGAACAATAGATCCTGATCCAGCAGAGCGGCATAGTCTGTAACTCCGATGTTCGTTGTAGAGCTAGAGGATCAGTATGTTTCCTATAATCGCTGCAGAAACAGAATCAACAATCGTGCCCACCAGTCCAGTCCCAGTGCTGACTACACCAGTTGCATGATGAGCTGCCACCGAATAGGACGGGTGAGTATGAATGATCAGAAATTGCGACCGAAATGGATCTGTGTTGCATCGGCGACAAAGTTCTTGAAGGGCGAACTTATTTGCTAGTGTGATTTAATCAATCATGTAGAGCGCTTTCTACCCGCAGGCAGCTGCCCCTGCGGAGGTGGCGGTGCATGATCACCAGCAAACACAAAATAAATGCCACGATGGAAACATATCATACCGCAAAACAGTGTGCCAGTACAACATGAAATTCCTGTGGCAGAGTTCTTGCAGCCGTTCGTTTGTGATAGTTTTCTATTCTCCGGAGATATTATTACATCATTGCTGCAAGAGATCCATGGGCTGCATCAAGAGCAAAGTTTAGACAGATGATCTTGTCAGTACAACACCTCTGTGCAACATCAAAGCTTGTTTTGACTGTCCGGATTATGTACTTCGCATAAATAAATCATAGATTGATGATATCTCCTGTCACAGAAATTGACATTGTCCCCATCCGTGTAGGCGTAGTAGCATTTTTGTACAATCAAGAAGCGACCAACATCAAGGGCGGCAAGCTGTCGGAAAGACGTATAATTTTCCAAAACCTCCTCTGGAACTAGAACCAACAACTTGTACTCGCCCCGTTAGTATCAAATGCAAAAATGTCTGGGTCTGGAAGATTGCCATGTTTGTCATGCAGGTTTTCTGTGGCTCATAAGGTTTACAATGCAGCACCTAGCATGACAAAGTCTGTGAGGTCTCTATCATGGCTATCCTGCGTGAGAAATTCCCTCTCAACCTGGTAAAAAAGGACGGCTGTTGGTAATCACGCAATACAGATTTTTTGCATGATTCAGATTTAGCATGACAAGTTCCAATTCTTCCAGACCCAGACATATTTGCAATGCATACATCTTTGCACAAGACCACTCGGTCTCGGGGCGATAGGCTGGTGAACACCTTGTCGATCCTGCGGAAGAACCTCCCCTACGAGGGGCTGGGCGGCGGGGTTCATGCTAGTTGCTGGCTCTTGCAGTGCTTCTTCAACATCCCCTTGTTCATCATCATCGCCCCCCAGGCTAAGCCAAGGCCGGAATTGGCCACATTGCATCTGACGCTCGCGCTCGGGCTGGTCCTGGTCCTCCCCACGACCCTGGGGCAGACGGCGGTCGGGCTGGTGCTGGTCCTCCCCCTGGGGCAGATGACCTTCTTGCATGAAAGATACCCCGGCGGTGTCCATGCGGTCGACGTCCTCAGGATCGTTGGGAAGATCAGCAGCTGTTGAACCGTTTTGCCCCTCGCCGCTGGCAACAACCTCCGCCGCTCGATGGTACGCGGCGTGTGCATCTGCCACGGCCCGACCAACAATCTCTTCCAGTGCAGCGGCGTCGACATCGACGGCGGGGGCGGCTGTCGTCCCGTTCAGCCGGGGGTTTTCTCGTTCCGGATGTTGAACAACGCTAGTACCAGCAGGTCCATCACCAGGTTGTAGAGCTTGGCTAACCGCCTGTTGACTAAGATCCCAAAGCCTGTTCGCTTCTTCCAAGGTCGGGGGCCGGTGGTCCGCGTCACTAGCAGCAGGTGTGGTGTCGACGACCTCCGCATCGCCATCCACCATGGCTGCTTGTCCCGCTTCATCCTCATCCCCGGCGCCGTGCTGTGGCCCCATCGAGGGCTCCTGCAGCGCCCTCACCTCAGCTTGCACGCGTGCCAGTCGTTCTTCCGTGATTTCTCGCACATCCTGCAGGTGGTCGTGCTCCATGTCGTCAGGATCTTGTTCCCCTTCCCCGCTGCTCGCAGGTGGTCGTCCAGTCAACATCTGCGCAGTTGTAGTGTCGTCTATGCAATACAAATTTCTCGTACATGTGCAAAATGCATGACAAATTTCACTAACTTGCAGTGTCCAACTTGTCATGCTAGACTAGGATTGAAGGCAAGTTTTGTCATGCAGAGACTGCCTTTGTACGTGTACGGGAAATTTACTGTGGATATCGTCCCCCGCAGGAACAGGAACAGGAGCCTGGTCCATCTCCATCGTGATCCGCTGCTCTTCCTTCAAAAATCGATCCCCCTGGTCTACTGCACAGGACGCGCAAGCGGTCGGGTCGGCCGGGTCTACGCGACACAACTCCGGGGTCGAACTGGCACCACCGGCTGCAACAGTGCCTGCCGTGTCGTGAAACGTGGCGTCGGTTGTAGCCTGGTGGTCGTCCACCGCCGGTTGTAGTAGTTCCGGTTGGTAGTTTATCCAAGAAAAAAACTGTGTTAGTGTAGGTCTTTTGGGAAAACAGCATCACAAGTTCGTCTGCCATGACAGGAAAAACTTGTCATGCGCAGAT